TTCAGACTATGCCTTTTGAGTCAGAGACACCAATCATGCCTTACAAGCTTGTAGGCAAATGGGAGAAAGAAGAAAAGATTGTTGCAAAACAGGCACGAAACGTAGGAAGGGTTTCATCGACATTGCTTTTGTCACACTTTCATAATTTTGGTAGTTAATTAATTTCTATTCTGCTTTCACAGCATAAAGATCGTGTGCGATTACATATGTTAAGCGTTGCCACTATAATAATTAAATTTTTTTTATATTTTATTTTATTGGAAAGTAATTGATTTTTTAATTGATTTATTAAAATGAAATTTTTTTGAATAAAAAATAAATTACTACAAAAAGATCTAAAACTTTCAGCTAATGGTAAACAAAAACATAATTTAAAGCATTTTATTCATGTTTTTTTGTAAGATAATAAAATAACTACTTGAAAAAATTAACACAATATTTAATTTAACAAATATTTAAAAAAATAAAATATTAATTCGTTTATAAAATATTTAAATAAATACATTAAGAATTATAAATATGGTAAAATTGAGAAAAAGACATGTCTGAAAAGTCACAATCTAAAACTGGACAAAGTAATTATTAAAAATTAAAAATTTTTTAACTTGAATAAAATACAGAAGATCAAAAATTTGTTATAAGAACATTTCGAGGAAAGCAGGCAAGGGTAGTACTCCACCGTTGTGCTAATATCAGCTCTAAATTTTATAAGAAAATAATAATTTAAATATTATTTTCTTATGTAAAATTTCGTTTTTATTAGAATAGCGAGAAATTAAAATTATTTTCCCCAGTAATCCCCGATAAGGTACAGGTAAAAATTATTCAATTTGAATCAAATTTTCAGAGTACGAAAAAACCCTTAATGGCCGAGAACATGGTACATGTAAATTAATACAGAGTTTCATGTGTTCTTCTATAGATGTACTCATAATTTGCTTTACAATTATCCAAGTGTATGTAAGTGTCTTACCAATTTCATGTACATTAGGATGTCGCGTGGACCATATTTTTGCAGGAATACCTCTCAAACGATGCATATTAATGTACTGTATACGAGAACAATAAAACAATTTTAAAGTGCATCAGATCTCTACCAGCGATCTTCATATCAGTACAGTATGTTAAAAATGTTTTTGCAATCTTTATGAAATGGCTCTCAAAAATTCCGTAATTATAAGTTTAACACGGGAAAAAGGCTTTAAAAATTTTAAAATTAGGTATGTATATGTATGTATGTATGTATGTATGTATGTATGTATGTATGTATGTATGTATGTATGTATGTATGTATGTATGTATGTATGTATGTATGTATGTATGTATGTATGTATGTATGTATGTATGTATGTATGTATGTATGTATGTATGTATGTATGTATGTATGTATGTATGTATGTATGTATGTATGTATGTATGTATGTATGTATGTATGTATGTATGTATGTATGTATGTATGTGGCAGAGTTTAAACCTTTATTTTAAATTCGACAGATAGAACTTTCAAATGGCATAACAGACTTTTAAAACTATAATAAATATACACTGGTGGCCAAAACTAACGCAACTAAAATTATATTTATGTGGAATGGTGCATAACATTTTTCACGATGAAGAAATTTTATAACTGTTTTTGGTTTTATGTCATATAATTTGTAACCTATAAAAGTCCAAAAAATTCCAAGATTTAATACACACATATGACTTAAGCAAGAAGGATATCATATCAATATATATTGGTCGAGACTAAAGCAACTTTTTAATATACACTTTTAAAATTAATTTTTAATAAAAAATCATAGCATATTCGTTATTTTTTATAAGAGGAGCACATCTAGGAGTCATTACGGACATTATACGCTTTATTTGATAATTTTAGAAGCTGTTCCTTGCGTCATTTATCCTATCAAGGATATTGTGCCTTTTAGTTTCTCTGTATCCTTCAGTAAACTTATCTACAATAATCCAATGCTACTAAAATTGTGTTTAGGTCAGGTGATTGTGCTGCTCAATGAAGAATACAAGCATTTGATGCATCCAACAAATTACCTGGCTTTATTCAGGGTGAGTTTTTGGCCGTTTTTATGTTGAAGTACCTAAATAATCTGCATATTCTTATCGAATTTAAGTTAATAATCAGACCTTTATAGAAATATCGATAAATTTTCCCTATTATTTAGTAAATAGGTTCAATACCAAAACAGGAAAAGGAATTCCCAACCTTGAACTAGGCTCCTCCAAAGCGTACAATAGCTCTGCAGTATTAAGGATTATAACGGGTATTCATAAGTCTTCTCACAGTAGAGGCTTTCATGTCGAATTCTTCAATAATATGTTCAGACTCATCGATATAGGATCCAAATCACAAAATATTATGTTCTCCGTTGAGTCCGAAATTTATATTAAAGAATAACTCCTCGGTAAAAAGACCAATTTATACCCATCATAATCCTTAGTATTGCAGAGCTGCTGTGTGGCATGGAGCAGCCTCATTCATGGTAGGAGACGACTTTTCCTACTATAGTATTGAAACTATTTACCAAATAACTGAGAACCTTTTCCGAAATTTTTATACAAGTGTGATTAAAAACTTTATTTCAATGAAAATATGCTGATTCAGGTTCCAACACGAAAACGGCCTTGATAGGATAAAAGACGTAGATGTGCTTCTCTTATAAAAAATTACGGATAAGCTATGATTTTTTTATTAAAAATAAATTTTAAAGGTATGTATTAAGAAGTTGCTTTAGTTTTGACCAATTCATATTGAGTATGAACTCCTTTTTTGTCCTTGGATTTTTAGTACTTTTTTGTAGTTAACAATCATATTACTTAAAAAAAAAACAAGTTAGAGTGCTATATTCGGCTATGCCGAATCTTAAATACCCTCCACCAGCAAGCTACTTTTTATTAAAACTCATTTAAATATCTAATTTTCAGTATTGAGGGTACTAACATTTATGCATATGTCAAGCTAATTTTAATAAGGTCGAGAAAAATGTGTATTACTTCCGTATAATGATTTATATATACAAAATACACATTTATGTCGAATTTTATCCCGATAACATTGATTGTCAATGTGCATTTGAGTAATTTTCGGAAATGGTCCTTATATGGGAATTGTGACCAATTATCGACCGATAAGGAAAAAATTTCGTATAATGATTTATATGCCAAAAAAAAATTCAATTCGAATTTTACTATAATAGATTTACTAATTAATGAAATATGTGCGTTTAGGTGATTTTCGGAAGTGCTTTATATGTATACGAGCTATGACCTTGCACAAAACATATTTTTGTCGAATTTTATCAAGATATCTTTATTTTATAATGAAATATGTGCGCTTAAGTGATTTTTTTGAAGTGGAATTACACTACAACACTGGTATAACGTCTCCATCCTTTCGAAAAATATACACAGGCCTTTTCGTTAAAAATGTGTTGGCCTGTGTAATAATTTGCTGTTTTAATTCGCCGAATTTCCGGAAGAAATATGAATAAAATATACATACATTTAATTCAATTTATGTTTAGGAAAATATTATGACTTCAGGTTCGACTAGGCTTGCCAGATTTGATATCGGCAAAAAACTTACATCGTATTGAGTAAAAAAAGTACAAATGTTTATTTTCGAAATATTTCAATTAAATTGTTCTAAAAACGCCAGATTGACATTGTTTGCTATGATTTTGCACAACAAACTCATTTGAAAACTAATTTATGACAAATAAAATTAAAATTAATGAAACATATATTTATTTTAAATAAAAAAGCGCATTCCTTCTATGACATATATTCCATATAGTAAATTCTAATTCTTTTTCGCTTCTTTGGAAGTACTTTTTTTTCGGTATATTGTGAATATGTTATATATCTTTTACAGGAGAAAAAATAACCAGTAAAATAAAAAATATCTATCAACGAACTGTAATTTTTATCTTTCTCAAAATTTCGTTTTTTTTTTAAATCCTTTCACAGCGGGGCTGGATAATACCATCAAAATGGTACATGACGGAACGTTACAGACATTTTAACATTCAAGCATATCCTTTAGATTTGCAAACTTTTTTATGTCGAAAATTCAGTAAAAACTTTCAGTACAGAGATTTCTAAATCAAATTTTAATAACTTTACACAAGGCAAAGGCTACCAAACCTCTTATAGTCGAACTTGCCTTTTTAAGTTCAATAAATACACTTTCAAATGGATGAGATTTATCTATTAGGTTCTTAAATTGCGATTCTATAGAATATTTGTTTACACTTTGGTAAAATTATGGTAAAATACAAAAAAAAGTACAAAAAGAAGTACAAATACTAAAAAGAAATACATTTGCGTAGGGGTTATGCAGTTAAAAGTACAATTATGAAATAAAAGTACGCGTACTGCTGAAAACAGTACATCTGGCAAGCCTAGGTTTAACTTTCTTAATAGTTTTTTTATTGTATGCATATGACCTCATTAAACACTTTAAATTACAACAAATTGTCTAAAGAATATAAATTTTAAGCCGAACAACTTGCTTGTTCGAAGAAGAGAAATTATGAAAATAGTAATGCTTTTTTCTTTTAATTAATGTAATTATTTGAATAATTTATTTGAAATGTTTGTGAAATATTTATATTTTCCCTGCAACTGCAAACGTTCCCTGAGTATAGGTAGTTGCCTATACATTTATATATATCTACATATGTATAAATTTGTGTACAGTACACAGTAGGCATTTAGAATAACTATAAACACGTAAACCTTGACTTACTTCACAAAAAATTTTAATTTTATGAATTTAGTTAAACACGAAACTATAGAGAATTTCCTAAAATATTTTTTATTATTTTTTTTTTTACAAAATATTTCATATAAATACATTTTATTTAGTTCAGTGACCTATTAAAACTTCAACCGCTATATTGAAATGGGTTTATGTAATTTTGTATAAATAGTTAGAACTAGAAGACATCAATTCTAAATATGAAAATATTTTCTTTATATACATATTTAAACCGCTCAAATCGAGGGTTACCTGTAACGTTTTGTTTTTCATTTTTGTTTGCGTTTGCATTCGCAATTCATAATGGTATGTACTATTACACTACAGCCTTTATTTGGGATTTGTGAAAATATGAAAAATAAGAAAAACTTAAAGAGACATATACATTTTCAGCGGTAGTTGTTGTTGAAGTTTAATTTTAAATTGTTGATTTTATTACTTCTGCACTCGAGGTTTTTAATAATTTTTTATACAATTATTAGTTGTGTTTTTTATGTAAATCTCCCTTTCTTTCTAACACTTTCTTTTTTATTTCAATTTCTTTTTAAACATTTTTCAAAGCATATTTTGTAATACATAATTTTTGTATACGTCTTAAGCTGACATTTAGATAAATCAATCAATTTGTACTGCGTTTGTTTTTAATCCTTGAACACTTTGCTTTTTAATATACATATATGTTTTTTTTTTTTATTTATTTATTAATTATTATTATTTATTTTCGTTTCTCGAGCTGCAATTCGCGTGTTGTAGAAACACAAACTAAATGTTACTGTGTTATTATTGCTCATGCTTTGCTGTGTAGTTTCTCATGGCATTTTTTATTTCTCAGGCGTTTCCGTCACTCTGAAATGTATCTAATATACTCATAGATACATATGTACATAAATTGATATATACACACACGTATGCACAGATAAAGGTTCAAACACATGCAATACTTTACGACGAACTGCAACTGACAGCTCGTGTTTACTGTATGTATTTAAATGAGAGCGGTCACAATCAATGCGTCAAACTTGAGCAAGAAGTACAAAAGATGAAAAATATTCAACTTTGGCGTACGAAAAAGAAGAGAAAGAGAAAATGAGAACAAAATTGTCAAAATTATTGTTGTTGTCCTTTTTATTTTGTTTAATTATGATTTGTGTGTGTGTGAAAGACTTACGCTTGTATTTATAAAAAAATCTTATTTTGCTTTTAATGCACTCAATAGTTAAAGCACACTTTAGCCTTAAAAACCATTAATAAAATTGTGATATTCATAAACAAATAATAAACGTATATTAACTATTGTGCTGATTTATGTTTAAGTTGGCAGCACTGTACAATATGGCTGTCATTTTATGTGTTAGTGTTGCGTACAATTAGGATAAAATATTCGTTGATTCGGTTTTCTTATTTTCATATTTTTGTTTATAATAGATTTTTGACAATAAAAACAAACTTTTAAGAAAAATAAATATATATATGGCTTTAATAAATGTCTATTTAGTTCAGATGTATAAATATAACATATAATTTCTAATTATTATTAAAAGTATCCGAATAACGGATATTTTGCGACAAAATATACATCACTATGACACATTTTCTTATTTTTACTTATTTTCCTTGTAATTTTTGATAAATTTTTGCAAATATTGATAAATTTCTTTGATATTTGACTAATTTTAATGCCGGCGAATATATTTTGCATTAGTATAACACTAATCAATATAATTTACATGGTTAATTACTTTATGGCATTATATTTAACCAACAAACTTTGAAAAAGCCAAATCAAATGATTTTGTCCATCATTTGGTTGACAGACGGGCATTTCCAAATTGCCTAAAAATAGTGCTGGACAATTGGAATATTGTCAAATATTCATGCATTAATCCAATAATGCCTAGATTTGAGTTTTTTCCTCAAAATATAATCGTTTAAAAATTATCTGGGATTTTATTTACAAATTTGTAAACGTTAAAATTAGAATTTTTAGATCTTACTTTAAAAGAAACCATAATTACTTTTCGCAATCAACCAAAAATTTCCGGAAAAATCTTTATCTAGAAAAAAAATTGTTAAAAATCAAGTTATTGTTGGCTTAAAGAAGGGTCGAGCCTGCAATAACATTCTTCTAATTGTCAATGGTTTATTGAAGGTGTTTTAAGCTATTTCACGTTTATAAATACGATTTTCCTGAATTTTGCCTAAAATTGTTTAATAAACCTAAAATAAGTTTTTATAAATACAGCCGTTAATTTTTAAATTAAATATTTTTTATATTAAATATTTTATATTGAATATTTTTTATACTATTACACAATATATATTTATAATTATTTTTCATACTTTATAGTCGCAACGATTGGACATCACCTTTTTTACGTTGCGTAGCTGTCAGTCGCAGTTCGTCGTAAAGTATTGTTTGTATTTGGACCTTAAGTAAGTGTGCTTCCAGGGATGGTAAATAAAATTGAACGACGCATTAAACATAATAGTACTTTTTTCAACACAAAGTGCACCAAAATACATTTGTTTTATAACAAGAGTCTTAAAGAAAAATTTAAAGTATTCATTAATAGACTTGTATATTAAAAACAAAAGTCGACATTTTGCAATTTTTAAAAAGTCGATTTTCGACTTCTTTATCAATGTTAAAAATATACTTTCAGGTTTACAAATCTTCATGGATTTTTTACGCTTTAAGCAATAATTATGTTCGCCCGTAATTGGTTTTAAGTCTCGAAGTCCAAAATGTCGTCTTTAAAATTGAGGGTTACCATTTGCTATATCTGCTTCCTTATTCGAGATATCTTAACCTAAATCTCCTTTAGAAAAGTATATTTTGGTTTCTGGGATTCGACTTTTTTGAAACCTTGTTGGTCAGTGTTTTTTAAAGCTACAAAATAACATTTTATATACAGTGTCTCACATAAATATGTAAACACTAGCTGCGTATATCCGGCGTTGCCCGGGTTTCTTCGGAATGTAGAAAGAATATTTTTCGTTCTTTAATGACTTTAATTTATTGAAATAGTTGTTACATTTTTCTGCATTTTGTTTATCATAAAAGTCACTTTCTGGTCCAATTTGAAAATGAGCTTAAATTAGGAAATTTTACTCATTTGTGAAAAATTTAAGAAACTTTTTTTTGAGTAATTATTCGAAAATCAATCACTGTTAGGGAACTAATGGCACTTTTAAATTCTTTGTTTTATTTTTCCCATGTGCAGTAGAATTTAAAGAACTGTTCAGTTTAAGTTTGTGGATACACTATACTTTGAATTGTACTGCCCCTGGTGTATAGAGATAAAACGCTTCGGGAGGATTTTATTGACCACATAAATACGTACCATTAGCTGTATAAAATATAAAAAAAAACTTTCTCAAAAATATATCCAACTAAAGCTTTGGCTGGATTTAGACACCGCTTATTAAATACGTGCAGAATTTTTAGTGGATAATTTTCTAAACATCAGAAAAATTCTTATTAATTTAAACTTTGTTACTTATTTCAGGACATTTTAATACTTTAATATTTTCTTTTTCATTTCTTACAGTTAACCTAAAATTATATCATTTCAATCAAAAGATATCGAAAGATGAATTCATCCAAATTTTACATGAACAGTGCATCGTTTGAAATATTAATGATTTTCTTGATGGATTTGTAGATCTAAGTGTTATATAAGGAACTACAGCCGATTTAAATTTCGAATTTTTGTGAAAAATGTAATATGTTTTTTTTTAATCTATTTTAGAAGCGGTTTTTGTTCAGTAGTTTATATTCTGCATATATTCATTCAAGATCTAATATATCTTATAGTTATATCTGCATTTTTTTTTTTGTTGGGGATTTTAATTTAATTAAGTTTTATTTTGTTTTATCAAAATATACTTTTGGTAAAAGATTTCCATATGATATTTCTTGATCGTAGGAAACTACATCCGATTCTGTTATTTTCTGAGTTTAAACAGCCGATTACAGGTTTTGAAATTAAAATAGTTTTCCTGTGGGAGTGATGGGAGTATTATATATGGATCTACAACCGATTGTACTCTTCAGATGAAAATGTTGCAAATTTTTATTTTTCCTAATCGTAAAGTTAGTTCATGATCCACAAACATTTTAGAGATTTCAAATAAAAATAAATTTTTGATTAAAAATTGTAGTAAGTAATAATTTTCATATAAATCTCTATACTATAGAAACTTTCTATTAGAAAGTGTGTACAGTCCATTCCGCTTAAAGGCCAAAAATGGCCAATATCATATATAGTCTTTATTAACTTCTGAAGTTAGACCTATGAATATCCCGAATTTTATGTAAATCGGTTCAGAAAGGGTAAAGAAATAGTCTCATATATATTATTATTATATATTATACGTTTTGAAGATGTAATGTGTCGTATAGTTCATTCTAGTTTTTTGTATGCTTGAACGTAAATTTGGTATAAGAATTGTTTTATTAAATGGACGTAAAAAGGGGTATGCAAACTGATCAAGACCTTATACAGCTTATAGTTACTTCTAAGGTCAGACCTTTTGGCATGGCAAATTTCATGTAAATCGGTTTAGTAGATGTTTCGAATGAAAATTTGACATAAAAATTAATTGAAAAAGTTGGTGTAAAAAGGGGCGTGGCGTCCGATCTAGATCTGATATAGTTAATGGTTCCTCCTGAGGACAGACGTATGGGTGTACCAAAATTTATGTAAATCGGTTTAGTAGTTGGTTTAGGTATGTCTCTAATGAAATTTTTGTATAACAATTATGTAGAAAAAAGTGAGCGTAAGAAGAATCATGATGTCCGATAAAGATTTTATATAGCTTATTGTTCCAGTTTTGAATAGAACTATTACTGTTCTAAATTTTATGTAAATAGCTTCAATGCTTGTTTGTGAAAGCGTAACAAATATACAGTTTCTTTCATATAACTATAGGATAAGGTATAGATAAGGATAATGTTATGAAAAGTGGGCGTAAAAAGGGCGTGGCATCAAATCACGATCTTATATATAGCCTATAGTTCTTTCCGGGCTTAGACTTATCGGATTTTAAAATTTATATCAGTTTGGTAGTTTTTGCATATTGTGATTGCAAAATTGGTGTAATAACAATTTTAAAAAAAGTGGGCGTAAAAAGGGCGTGGCATCGGATCAAGATCTTATATAGCCTATTTTTCCTTTTGAGGTTAGACCTGTTAGTGGTCCAAATTTAATCTAAATCGGTTCAGTAATAAATCTGTTTCTATGTTCAATATCAAAAAGTACCATCTGAAAAACCTAAAAGTACAAAAATCTCTCTCAATCAATTCTCATTTAATAAGGACCGTGTGTCATGTGTTCCGGTTAACTGTTATAGAGAATCCAAAAGGTACCATTTGAAGAATGGAAAAGTACTAAAGTGTCCCCACTTACAGAATATTATTCAGTCAAAACCATGCATGTTCCAATTTATGTTCCTAGGTTGAATATTTTAGAATATTCAAAAAGTACCATTTGTGAGATAAATAGTACTAAAAAGTTCACTCTTAAAGAATCTTGTTCAATAAGGACCGCGTATGTTTAATAATCGTGTGTTTTGAATTGATATTATAGAACATTCAAAGAGTATCATTTGATGAAAGAAAAAGTACCAAAACTGGAATAAATTCTACCTTTGTGGAAAGTACTAATAAAAAGAGTACCACTATTCCCCTTTTCGCCTAGGAATAAACTTTTTCGAGAATTAAGTTTACAAAATGTTTCATGTTTAAATCTATATATCACAGATAAAACTGAAACGATCCAAAAATTGTGCTCTCAAAAAGTACCAAACAATTTACTCGAACAATTTCGGGCCTTAGTACCCGAATTCCAAAATAATATACCAATAGCTTATTTTGTGTGAGTAAATTAACAATTTTTTCAAATTTTATAAAAATTGGCT